TAAATTTCGTCTGGTCTTAGTCTCGTTAACAAAAATCATCCTGGTTGACGAAATTAACACTGCTGAGAACCAATTCATTCAAGTTAGAAGAAGAACATAAAGACTTACAGAAGTGAAGGCCAGCAGCTCTTCCTCTGTTAGTTTGTGAACAGGGTTGTTCTTCTGGAAGTCGGTGCTGAAAAAAAACAGAACAGATCAAGACACACTTCTATAGACCTGCTGCTATAGAAAGAAGAGAAAAGAAATCAGAGTATAAACAAGCCTCTGACAGTTTTACCCAATGAGTTACTGGTTAGGTCAGGGTTATGTGTGAAAACAGAAGTGATTTACTGGGTCCAGACCTGGAGTCACACTGGCCAATTAACCAGAGCTACTCCGTGACCTTACTGCTTAAAGCACGCATTTCCTTGTCCATGCAAAGTGTGACGTGCTGCCTAACAATCCTGACTCCTGCTAGATGCTGTAGACCTCTGCAACAACAAATGGCCGCACCGCGGTTATATATGACAAGATAACAGCTGTTCTTTAACACCAGAGTCAGCTGGGCAAAATTTCTAATTACTGATAAACTCTAAAGTCTTTTTTTGTGTCGCATTAAGCCAATATAGCTATGGGAATAGATATCCAAATACAACACAGATAGAAAGGGGGGTGAGAAAGAATGAGAGGATAACAACTATGAGAAGAGAGAGAGAGATAGAAAGGCAAGAGTTCGTGAAGGGAGAGAGAATAAAACAGCTAAAATAGAACCAGAAGATCTAAAGTAACTTCTAGAATCTGGATGAAACAACAGGAACAGAAAAAAGAACAGCAAAAGAAGACAACAGACAGCCAACGTAAACATTAACAAAAAGTTTCCAGAGGAGCAGGTATCCCTTAGCTGTCCGTGTGTGGAAGGAAAACCTGATGAGGGGGATGGAAACCATATTATTCAGGGTGGGATATATCTGTAGCTACAGCAGTATTTAGTATCAGTGTGAATCCATGAACATCTGCAACCAAACTCCTGTGATATGTATGCATGGGCATTACGGTGTATAAAGGATTTCCAAAGCTTCTTCTGAAGAAAAGTATGATCAATAGCAGGTGTGGGCGGCCCCAGACTCACCCTACAGGGCCCAGACCAATGAAGAGGCGATCCTGGCCCCAGATACCCAGAGGAACCCCAGATCATTGGGACACATTGAGGACAGACAGAGGGATGGCTGCACCCACCTCAGAAGGACAGACGAAAGCCCCCAGATCCCGACCCATGATGGGCACAAACCCCACAGGGGCCCAGTCCCTGAATGGAGTGACCGGAGATACCATAATGCCTAGGTCGCTAGGGGCCGCAGCAGCGAGCCCATGAGCTCCACCAGCGGCAGGTCACACTCAAGCCAGACCCGGATGAGAGCCTAGGGATCCGAAAAAAATCCCTGCAATGCACACGTACAAAGACATCAAACCATAGATGTCCAGAAATTAAGTTAGGTGCAATAAGGTGGAATGGCACATGAAGAAAAGGAGGTGGGAAAAGTCATTTAAAGCCAAGAAAGCAGCAAAATCTCTCAGTGATTTGAAAGCAATCCTGCAAATTAATATCAGCTTCTTCAGTCCCGAATGATGGCCTCTAAAAAGGTTTCTCTGGCACCACATCTTATGATGGGTAAAAGTAAAGAGCTTTCTCAAGACCTTCACCATCTTAAAGATAGCATTGGTTCCAGAAGGATTTCTAAACTTCTGAGCAATGTTAGGGCCACAACCTGGAAGTGGAAAGAACATCATTCCACCACAAACGGAACTACACCAGGTGCACCTCACAAGATTTCTGACAGAGGAGTGAAGAGAATGATCAGAACAAATGTCCAAGAGCCAAAGACCACTAGTGGAGAGCTTCAAAAAGACCTGGATTTAGCAGGTACAATTTTTTTTAAAGTGAACAGTTATGCACTCAGACGCTCTAGCCTGTATGCTTGCTCACCACGCAAGACTCCACTGCTGAAGGAAAAGCATGTTGGAGCTCATTTAAAGTTTGCTGCACAACATTTAGACAAGCCTGTGAAATACTGGAAGAATATAGTCTGGTCAGATGAGACCAACATTGAACTCTTTGGCCGTTTAGAATTAGCCTGACTAGCAGTAGCATGTTGGTGGCCTGCAGTTTAGCTGTTGGTCTATGTGGAATACCTGTAGCAGTCAATGTTTCTTCAATCTTTGTGGCATTATTTATATTCTCTCGACAAATTATCCCAGATTAGGAGGCAGGTTGGGGGACAGATTGGGAGGAATATTGGGAGACAGATTGGGTGGCAGATTGGGATGAAAAATTGGGAGGTAGATTTGGAAGTAGATTGGGATGAAGAATGGGAGGCAGATTGGGATGAAGATTGAGAAGTAGATTGGGAGGCAGTTGTGGAGGCAGATTGGGATGAAAAATTGGGAGGTAGATTTGGAAGTAGATTGGGATGAAGAATGGGAGGCAGATTGGGATGACGATTGAGAAGTAGATTGGGAGGCAGTTGTGGAGGCAGATTGGGATGAAAACTGGGAGACAGATTT